TATTAAATATATATTTTTTAATTCCATTTTTCCACCAACGTTTTTAAGTCCCTTTGTACTTTTTTGGAGAGTTTTTGCTATAGGGCATGTGCGCTTGCCAGAAAGACAGAGAGACAGAAAGCAAGAAATCACCCCCCAGGGGTAATGGCCACGCTGAAGTCCCTTCTCCATTCTCCTCTCGGGATCTTGGGCATGCATGCACATGCTCCTGGCATCAGTTTAAGCACTGGTCCAGGACTTGAACGGCAGTCAACTACGTGGGAGTCCAGCAATGTAGCCATTACGCCATCTGCTGGTCCATCCTTTGTACCTTTTAATTCCTTTTCCTGTATGATTGCACTAGCTAGAACTTCAGTACAATGTTGGATAAGCAGTGTTAGGATGGGATAACCTTGCATTACTCCTGATCTTAATTATTCATGAGCTTTAGTTTCGCATCATTAAGTATGTTAGCTATAAAGTTTTCTTAGTTTATTTTGTTATTTCTTCCATTAAAGAGAGTGGCACTCCCAACAAAGTCTTCATGCCACAGTATACCACATACCCAGGTACACAGGGAAGCCTCAGGACACAAACCTGGAATCTTTACACATGCTCCAGCATTGCAGAGTGTTACCACTTGTACCTCTGGCCCCATTAGATGTTCTTTATCAAGTTGAAGAAGTTCTCTATTACTATTTTACCAATAGTTTTTATTAGGAATTAATTTCTTTTTTAAATTTTATTTATTTATTTATTTATTTTTGAGAGAGAGATTTTTGCTATAGGGCATATGCACTCACCAGAGACACAGAGGGACAGAGGCACAGAAAGCAAAAAATCACCCCCCAGGGGGAATGGCCACACCACATACTTTTCTCCTCCATTCTCCTCTCAGAATCTTGGGCACGCACACATGCACACACACCAGACATGAGGTTTAAGCCACCAGGTACAGAACTGGAACCATGGTCAACTACCTGAGAGTCCAGCGACATAACAATTTTGCCATCTGCTGGTCCCAGGAATGAATTTTAGATATTGTCATATGCTTCTTTTTTTTTTAATCTGTTGATATGATCATGTGATTTTTCTTTTTTATAAAACTATGTTGATGTGCCAGATTATATTGTTTTTTTTTTAATGTTATATCAGCCTTGTATAACTGGGATGAATCCTACTTGATCATAATATATAATTCTTTTTAACTATCATTGATATTATTTCATCTTTAAATTTTAATTTATTTTACAAATGAGAAAACTAGGTCAGGGAATTTACACAATTTCCCCAAATCATATAGCTAGTAGAGGCAACAGTCAAGCCCCAGTATTTTAACTAAATTCAATGTTCTATCCATTATATGTCACATTACCTTATTCCACTGGGATTGCTATAATCTTTAATTTTCTAAGTAAGTTAGTATGTATACATTTTACAGAGGAAGTCAATCACACTAGTTCAAATAAGATTGTAAAATAAAGTCATAACTTTTGTTTTAACCCATTTCTAAAGACATTTAGTTAGTCCAAGTATTAGATCATAGCAAGATTAGCAGTAAATGATGCATTCTATGCTTTAGGACAGATATTTTTCTTGACCATTTCTGTTAACTTTCTCAGTTGGTGGTTGGTGCAGTGGAGATGCCATTTCTAGTGTTGAACGGTATGATCCACAGACGAATGAATGGCGAATGGTAGCTTCAATGAGCAAAAGACGATGTGGAGTTGGAGTCAGTGTTCTTGATGACCTGTTATATGCAGTAGGAGGCCATGATGGATCCTCTTATCTCAATAGTGTTGAAAGGTAAGATTAATTAGAAATTTTTTATCTATTAGTCATATAGCTTCATTTGAGATGTTAATTAAAAAACAGATGTGACTTACTGCTTTAGTATAGCATTTATGGCACTAATTGGCAACCGAGATCACCACTAAGCATGACATACAAGTTCTTTATGACCCGATCTCCACCCATTTTCCTGGCCTCTCCCTGATTACACACAGCATTCTCTCCGTGTGCTACTGTAGACCCATCAGCTTGCTTGCAGTTCCTCAAATATGATATCTTCTTTCATTTCATGCATGTTGTTCTTTCTTCCCTGAAATATCTCTGGCCTTTCAAGATTTACACATCCTTCAAGATTGAATGTTAAATCTTACATAAATAAAACCTCCTCTGATATCATACAAATGATTTAGTTATCATTCTTCTCCTCTTTCATATGAACATGCTTATGACATTGGGCTGTGATTGTGTTTCATTAAAATGTCTTTCCCAAAGTGTCTGTCACAGTGCCAGGCACATTGGAAACTACAGTAATTAATGTTTGAAGAACTTCTTGCTCTCACACATCCTTTGCATTCAGCTGTGTTGATTTACAGTGAGTCTTGGTATTTCTATAACGCATCTATGAAACCCTGCAGTATATCAAGTTCTAGAAGTATAGATTGTATAGCTGAAAAAAATAACAGAGGAGACCATCTAGTGGCATGAAGGTTAAGGTGGCTGGATCCCATATAGCTGACTGTGCAGTTTAAGTCCTAGACCCTAAGGCTTGAAAAACACACTGAGCACCTGTATGAGTGCTCAAAATTCCTAGAGGAGAATGAGAAGGATTGCATCATGACCACCCTCCCCTTCCCCCCACCACAAGAGCACTTTTTAACGTTCCCTCTCCCTGTCACTCCCCCATGAATGCACATGCCCTTTAGCAAAAAAAGAACAAAAACTAACAAACAAACCCAGAGGGACTAAGTCCATTGAATAACTAAATAAGCACACTTGAAGTGATAGGTTGGGGCCAGCAGATGATGGGGTAGTTAGGGCTAAACTTCCAAGTGACCAACCAGTGTTCAAGTCCCAGACCCTGTGGTCTGAAAAATCATGCTGGACACGTGTGCATGTGTACCCTAAATCCCAAGAGAATGAGAAGAAGGGATTGTAGTGTGGCCATCCCTACAGGGGGTGATTTCTCATTTTCTCTGTCTCTATCTCTCTGGCAGTGCACATGCCGTATGGCAGAAACCTAAAAAAATACACACACACACACACACACACACACACACACACATATATATATATTCAGTTAAAATAGTGAAAATCTCTATACATTTATAATTAACAAGTAAGTGTGGTCATGTGTATGTTTTGACCTATATATATATATATATATATATATACACACACACACACACATACACCAAGATGTATAGAATATAATGAAGGTGGTATTCAATATTGCATATTAATTTATATAATAATTAAATTCATTATATTAACTTTAACTCATATGTATTCATATAATTTATGTGCATTTGAAAATAAAGATGGAAAATAAATTAATTGTACTTTTTCCTTTTTTCTATTGTTTTTGCTTTGTTTTGGTTTTTTTTGGAGAGGTTTTTGCTATAGGGCGCGTGTGCTCACCAGAAAGACAGAGAGAGACAGAAAGTGAGAAATCATCCCCCATCCTCCTCTTGGGATCTTGGGCACACATGCATACGCGACTGGCATGAGTTGAAGCTACTGGGTCTGGGACTCAAACTGCAGTTGGCTACATGGGAGTCCAGCGACATAGCCACCCTGTGCTTTTTTATTTTTAGGTTTTTATCATAGGGCACATGTGCTCACAAGAAAGAGACAGAGACAAAGAAAGTGAAAAAGCATCCCCACGTGTGCGCACGAGCACACATACACGCACTGCAATCCCTTCTCCTCTGTTCTCTTGGGATTTGGGGCATGTACATGCACGCACCTGGTGTGATTTTTCAAGCCCCCAGGTCTAGGACTTGAACCATGGTCAGCCACATTGGAATCCAGCACCTTAAGCGCATCATGTGCTAGCCCCTGAATCATACTTTTAAATCAAGAAGTTATAAAAAGAAAATGACATTGAAGTGCACCACCATCACCATAAATAGCACTGGGGAGACATGCACAGACGAGTGTGTATATGACCAGTGCTTTGGTTGCTAGATTGCCAAGAAGTTCCTCAAGAGGGAAAGGTTCTCCAAGGATCCATGAATCGACACCTTTAAGCCCTACAGCAGTGTATTCAGGAAGCAATAAAGGAACAAGATTCCCATTAAAAGACTGGAGTTCCACAGCAGGCGTGTGTGTGTGTGTGTGCGTGTGTATGCCCAAAATCTCGTGAGGAGAATGGAGAAGGGATTGTGGCATGGCCATTCCCTCAGGGGGTGGTTTCTTGCTTTCTGTCTCTCTGTCCAGCGAGCATGCACGCCCTATAGCAAAAATCTCTCTTAAAAAAAAAAAAAAGACTGAGGCTGGAGATTCAGGGTGTTAAAAAAGACTGGAGTTCTTGGACCATTACAAAGAAAAAAGAAAAACTTGAAAACTCTTCTTGACCTGGGCAGTCACCATGAAAATGGACTCCTCAGATCAAGAAATTGAGGACTCTGGATCTTGTCAACTAAGGCTGTGAAGAGAGCCATAGATTTGATGAGTTTTATTCTCTGTGTTTTGTTTTGTTTTAAGGTTTTTGCCATAGGGCATGTACGCTCATCAGAGAGAGACAGTGAGAAAAGTGAGCAATCATCTCCATGAAGGGATGTCCATGCCATAATCCCTTCTCCTCTCAGGATTTTGGTTATGCATGCACACAAGTCACCAGGTCTGGGACTCAAACTGGAGTCAGCCATGTAGTAGTACAACACCTTAACCACCACGCTGCCTGCTGGCCCCTATTCTCTTCTTGATGTTTTCCTCCCATTTGTAAAAAATGAACCATCACTCTTTGAGGTGATTTCTCACTTGCTCTGACATCTTGCAGGATGTGCTAAAACTGAACAACTTAGTGTGATTATGATTTCAATGCTTGGTTGAGACTCAGCTTTATATATACACTATGTATGTAAATATTAGTCGGGATGATCAGGGCTGCCTGCATTCTTGATTTTTGCTGAAGGACATTAATTATATACACTACTGAGTTCGTTGCTCATGAAAGCAATTTTTTTCTTCTAAGGGAGTTAATGCCCTAGTAAGGGATCTTGGTGTAACTTGTTACAGTCGATTTTACTTTTATGGAATAACAGTTAAGGTTGACTAGATTGCCAACAAATGGGATAATGGTTACATTGCTGGACTCCCATATAGTCAACCATGGTTTGAGGCCCGGACTCAGCAGCTGAAAACTCATACTGGGCACGTGTGTACTCATGCCCAAGATCCCAGGAAGAGACTGGAGGAGAAGGGATTGTGGTGTGGCTGGGTGATTTCTTGTTTTCTATCTCTCTGTTTCTGTTTCTTGGATGAGCACACACGCCCCGTAGCAAAAATCTCTTTTTTAAAAAAAAAAATGTTGGGATCAGCAGTTAGCGTAAAGGCTATGCTGCTGGACTCCCGCATTGTTGACCGCAGTTCGAGTCCCAGACCTGGTGGCTTAAACTCATGCCGGACACATGTGCGTGCATGCCCAAGATCCCGAGAGGAGAATGGAGGAGAAGGGATTGCAGCGTGGCCATCCCCCCTGGGGGGTGATTTCTCACTTTCTATCTCTCTGTCTCTCTCTGTCTGTCGGGTGAGCACACACGCCCTATAGTAAAAACCTCTCAAAAACAAACAAACAAACAAACAAAAAAACAATTTTCTGCCTTAACAAAAGTGTTAGATTAAAGATTTTAAAGGTTAAAAAATGTTGCAGTGAGCACTATTTAAGAGCTCACAGTGTAGTTCAAGAATTAAGATACTTGAAATAGTTATGGAGGAAGAACCTAAATTGCAAAAATCAGCTGTGGCCAGCTTTCAACTCAAGTCACTGTGTACTAAGTCAATCTGTATATCATAAAAATGTCAAAATTTTGTACTGACCCCATGGCCTGGTGGTTAAAGCAGCCAGATCCTAATGACTGACCTTGAATTTTTAAAAATATTTTATTTAACTTTATCTGTTTGTTTATTTAACTTTGATCAGAGAGGGACAGAGCATGAGAGAGAGAGAGGGAGAGGGAAAGCAAGAAAGCAAGCCACCAGATCCAGGACTCAAACCATGGTCGGCCATGTGGGAGTCCAGTGCTCTTAACCACCACACCACCTGCTAGCCCCAGACCTTGAATTTTTTAAGAGGTTGTAAAAAGAACAACAGAGGGCCATCAAGTGGCATGGAGATTAAGGGGCTAGATCCTACATGGCCAGCTTAGGAGTTTGAGTCCCAGACCCTGCAACTTAAAAAAATCACCACAGGTGCATGTATGTGTGTGCCAAAAATCCCAAGAGGAAACTAGAGAAGGGATTGCAGTGTGGTCATCTCCCCAGAAGGCTAATTTCTCACTTTTTCCCTCTCTTTCTCTGTTATTGTCTCTGGTGAGCCCTCTATAGCAAAACTTTGAAGAAAAAAAAAATGACAAAACAAAGTCAGTAAAAAAGGAAAATTAATGAAATCGGAAAAATAAAAGTTGATACAGCTACAAAAAGAGTAATTTGATAGTATTTTTGATTACATGTTTAAACATTTAAAATGTGGCCCAGGTGCAGTTGTACATAGGTAGCACCACCACTTGGGAGTCTGGAAGCTACGTGGGAGGCCCAGCTTCAGTTGTGGGGCTGACCTAACCACAGGTATGATTGTGTGTACTGTGATCCTGGCTATTTGTGGGGCTGGCTCAAGAGGACCCTTACTCGACAAAGTATTTTGTCTCTCTCTCTTTCCCTTTTTTCTTTCACTCATTAAGGAAAAAAATATGAACTTACAGTTTGTTTCATTGAGTTTATCCGTCTGTACAAGAAGAAGTAAACAAAAGTAATCACTATTTTTAATAGTAAAATGTCAGAAACAGCATACAGATATATCCAAAGGAATGTGATTAAGTAATTTGTGGTGCATACAATAGTTCAAAGGAAAAAATCTAAAGCTGTATTAGTATAAATCTCAAAAATATGTCAAGGGAAAAAGCAGTGCCTACTGTGGAATATTACTTATTTAACAAAAACACACTTGAGGGACTGGCGGATGACATGGTGGTTGAGAGCGCTGGACCACACGGTCGAGTTCTAGAACTGGCGGCTTGCTTTCTCAATCTCTCTCTCTCTTTCACTCGGTCCCTCTCTGATCAGTTTAAATAAATAAATCAATAAAGCTAAAATAATAAAAAAATTATTCTTTGAAAAAAAGAAAACACACATGCTTTTAAACAAATATATATATGTAGATACATGTATACCTATTTAGAACTATTTTGCTGAAAAGTCTTGAAGGATATATATCAAATCAAAATAGAAGGAGACCATAAATCAGGTGGAAGTAAAATTTTAGCTTTTTCAATAATGTTCTAATTTTTTTTTTTTTTGAGAGATTTTTGCTAGAGGGCATATGAGACAGAAAGTGAGAAATCATCCCCCCCAGGGGGGATGGCCACACTGCAATCCCTTCTCTAGGGATCTTGGGCACGTACGCACATGTGCCTGGTGTGAGTTTAAGCCGCCAGGTCAGGGACTACGTGGGAGTCAACTACATGGGAGTCCAGTGACGTAGCCATTACGCCATCTGCTGGTCCCAATAATGTTCAGATTTTTAAAAATTATAATATTCACATGCAATTTGTTTATGTAAAAATGAATTACAAAAAATAATATAAATTTATGCTTCAGTTATTAATCAGTCCATATTTAGGTGAAAGAATATGTATCATATAAATTCTTTGATCTGGAATATGTAAACAAACAAGCTTCCTTGTGTAACACAAACTCTGTACTTGCTGTGTTCTTTTCAGGTATGACCCTAAAACAAACCAATGGAGCAGCGACGTGGCCCCTACAAGTACCTGTAGGACAAGTGTTGGTGTGGCAGTGCTTGGAGGCTTTCTCTATGCTGTGGGTGGCCAAGATGGTGTGTCTTGCCTCAACATTGTTGAGAGGTAATTTTTTTTAAGTAATTTTTACTTTTTTTTTTAAAGGACTTTTGGTGTTCTTCAAAAGAAAGAATTAGAGCTGAATTTAGAGATCCACTGTGGAATCTAAGTGGATCTTTTCATAGGATTTCAGAAGAAAGTTTTCAGTTGATCTTAAAGTTTATAAAGATAAAGGATGTTTTTTTATATCTTTTTTTTTTTTCATTTTTAGAAAGAGATTTTTGCTGTAGGGCACATGTGCTTGCCAAAGAGAGAGAGACAGAAAGTGAGAGATAGCCCATGGGGGTTGGCCACATTGCAGTTTCTTCTCCTCTGTTCTCCTCTCAGGATTTTTGTCATGCTTGTACACACGCCTGGTGTGAGTTTCAAGCCACCAGGTCGGAACTTAAACCATGGTCAACCATGTGGGGGTCTAGCAATATAACCATTACACCATTTGCTGATCCCTAAAATTTATTTTTAATAAACAAAAATTATATATATATATATATGTATACATACATATACATTGTGGAATAACTAAATCAATCTAAATAAAATATGTATTATCTCACATATTTGTAACTTTTTGTGGTGAGCACACCTAAACTACACTCTTAGCAGTTCTCAGGTGTGCAATGCATTGTTGCTGTGTATAGTCACCATGTTGTATAGCTGACCTCTTGAACTTAGTCCTCCTATTTAACTGAAATTTTGTATCTTTTGACCAATATCTCTCCAATCCGCCCCCACCCAGCCCTTGGTAACCACCATTCTGTGATTACTTTTATGAGTTTGACTTCCTTAGCATCCATATATAATAGAGATTATATAGCATTAGTCTTTCTGTACCCAACTTATTTCACTCAATGTACATCCACCAGCTTTATCTGTGTTGTCACAAACCTTTAAAAATTACACATGGGACCACAGATGTTGAGGTTAAGGTAACTGGATCCCAGATGGAGGCTATGGCTGACTGCACACTGGGCCCAGTGGCTTGAGAAAAATGCCAGCACGTGTGTGTGTGTATGTGTGTGTGTGTGTGCCCAAAGTCCTGAGAGATGAATGGAGGAAAAGGGATTGTTGCTTGGCCATCCCCTCTGGGGAGTGCCTTCTCACTTTCCCTCTCCTTGTCTCTGGTGACACACACACATACCTTATTGCAAAGTCAAAAAAAAAATAAATGTTACTTATAATGGTTAAAAAATTAGATTATTATCAAATATTTTAAAAGCCAATACTTCATGCCAGAAGAAAATGGAGGACCAGTAGGTAGTGCAGTGGTTAAGGGCACTTAACCACTACACATGGCCAACTGTGTGGTTCAAGTATCTGACCTGGTGGCTTAAAAAACAGTGGTGGGGGCAGGGGAGCTTGCCAGGTGATGTAGTGGTTAAACGTGCTGGACTCATGGTTGACCGTGGTTTGAGTACCAGACCAGTGACTTGAAAATCACGCCAGGTGAGTGTGTACACATGCCCAAAATTCCAAGGGGATACTGGAGGAGAAGCAACTGTGGCATGGCCAACCCCACCTGGGGCAGAATTCTCACTTTCCCTTTCTCCATCTCTCTCTGTCTCTGGTGGGCACATGCACCCTATAGCAAAATACTATAAAATAATTTTTAATGGAATAATATATTTAAGATGTTCAAGGAAAATGTAAATCAGGAAGTATATACCTATAGAAACTGTCTTTGGAGAATAAAAGGCACAAATTATTCTCAGCATGTAAAAAATCAGAATGTTGTTCCTATGAATTCTTTCTGAGAAATCTCCTAGAGAACAGGCTTCAGAAAAGATTACTAGAAAGGGACCAACTTCATAACCCTGTGGTTAAGGCAGCCGGATCCCACACTGCCAACTTTGTAGTTAGAGTTCCAGGCCTAGTGGCTTGAAAAACATGCTGGGAACATGTACATGAGTGCCCTCAAATCCCAAAAGGAAGGAGAGATGGAAGAAAAGGGACTGCAGTGTGACCATTCCCCACGGGGAGTGCTTTCTCTTCTCCGTCCCTCTCTATTTCTCTGGTAAGCGCATGCATGCACACACATGCACGCATACACATGCACAACCTAGAAAGACTTTGACAAAGGACTGATTGAGATCATTACACATAGTTAATTGTAGAACTATGACTAAATGAGGTTAAAAGGAAGAGAATATAGCATGCTCTGTCCTCAGTCAGCGTAAATGTGATACAGCTGTTTTTAAAGTAAGGAACAAATAAGATGTGCAAAAGTAAATTTTAATTGTTCTTAGGGGTTATCAGAGTAACTGAATATTGCTATTCTACAAATATTACATGTATAAATAGGAAATAAAGGAATTGAGTATGGCTCATTCTAATCCTGTTCTCCTTTGTATCCTTAAAAATCATCATTCTTGATGTGGAAGATATGGATGAAAAATAGAAGTTAAATAGAATATCTTGTAGTCTGGAATTTAAATTAGAATTAAACTCCCTTTGGAACCGGCAGAGGGCATAATGGTTACATCACTGAACTCCCACAGATTCCACCACAGTTGGAGTCAAGGAACCGATGACTTGAAACTCACAATGGGAGTGTGTGTGAACATGCCCAAAATTCCCGAGAGGAGAATGGAGAAGGGATTGCAGGTGCTCGCTTTGTCTCTCTCTCTTTGGTGAGCACACGTGTCCAGTAGCAAAAATCTCTCTTAAAAAAAAAAAAAAAAAGATAAAGAAAAAGAATTAAATGCGCCTTAAAAATAAAAATTCTGGAACCAGCAGTTCCGGCTATGTTGCTGGACTCCCACGTAGTCGACCGCGGTTCGTGTCCCAGATGCAGTAGCTTAAAACTCACGCCGGGCGCATGTGCATGCATGCCCAAGATCTCCAGAGGAGAATGGAGGAGAAGGGATTGCGGCGTGACCATCCCCCTGGGGGGTGATTTCTCGCTTTCTGTCTTTCTGTCTCTCTCTGTCTGTCTGGCGAGCGCACGCGCCCGATAGCGAAAACCTCTCCAAAAAAAAAAAAAAAATCCTATGTATTCTAGCTCTGTCAACTGAAGAGGCTTAGAAATGAAGACTAAATGACAGTAAACATCCCTGCTTCCAGATTGTGTCTTGAAATTCTATTTCCCACTAAAACCAGAGGTTTTTGAAGAATTCAGGTTTAGGACAGGAAATGTGCAGATGAGTCTGGACCATCTTGTCACACCAGATGGCAAACAAGCTACCAAAACCACTGGGAATTAGCTTTAAGATGTTCCTTCTGACCAAAGATAAAATAACTTCTTTTTTTTCTTTTTTTTTTTTTTTTAGTTTTTTGCCGTAAGACTTGTGTACTCGCTATAGAGAGTCAGAGAGGAAAAGTGAGAAATTACCCCCAGGAGGATGCCATACCACAATTCCTTCTCCTCCAGTTTCCTCTTGGGGTTTTGGCATACACACATGCACACCCAGTGTGATTTCAAGCCTCTGGGTTTGAGACTTGAACTGCTGTTGGCCATGTGGGCATCCAGCACCATAACCACCATGTCTCCTGCAGGCCATGCAATAACTTCAGCTTTAAAGGGGATGATAACTGGTAGTAGATTAAAATCCAAAACATATTTAAATCTATTAATTTATAATATTGTTAAACCCTAATTGGTTACCTTTGGGAGATCATAGGAAATACCTGTATGAATATATTATGAAAAATAGTAAATAAAGTGAAAGAAGCAAGGATATATCCTGCCTTTTTTATATGAATTGCATCACATATGAGCAGGTAACTAAATAGTAAATAAGAGGATTATTTCTGTATAATTAAAAAATGAAATGGGGGTTGGTAGGTGTCATGGTAGTTAAGGGTGCTGGATTCCCACATGGCCAACCACAGTTCAAGTCCCAGACCTGGCGGCTTGCTTTCTCACTTTCTCTCTCTCTCTATCTCTCTTGCTCTGTCCCACTATAGTCAAATTAAAATAAATAAATAAAATTAAATGAAATAATTCTTTCAAAATAAATAAATGATATCACCATTTTCTATACTCAATGCTCAGTAAATTAATTACCAATGCCAGAATCATTGATAATTAACAGCTACTAATGTACAATCTTCTGTAGTCTTGTTAAAGGGATCAAATATGGTCTTATTGGACCTCTATATCCTGCTACCAATTTGCACAGCATACAGAGGAGAGAGCAACATATTGAACTGGGATGTGAGTGTACAACCAATCAAATCCCTAATATGAGGGATACTGTCTTAGGCTAAAACAGTTGAACTGCAAAGGAAGAAAGGAATGGAGAAAAAACCTATAGGTAAAAAAGATTTCAGAAAATAACAATAACAACAAAAAAATAATGAGTAAGGCTGAAGTACCCAGAGATGATGCTTAGGTGATAAAATTATGAAGAACCACAAGGAAGTAGTAGATAAAAATGGTTACTTTGTGGAAAGGAGAGGATTAAGATAGTAAAGGGACACATTGCATATCTGCCTGTTCTTGTTCTTGGCCTGGATGGTGGTTATAATTGGGCTTTCCTTATAATAAAGTTAAACTAAGGGGCCATTTGGTGGCATGGTGGTTAAGATGGCTGGGTCCCACATGGCCAACTTGGTTTGTGTCTCAGACCCTTTTAGCCTGAAAAACACATGAGGTGTGTGTACATGAGTGCCCAAAATTCCAAAAGAAAAATGGGGAAAGGATTGTGGCATGACCATTTCTCATGAGACATCCTTTCTCATGTTCCTCTGGCATGCTCTCTGTCACTTTCTGGGTAGTGCACCTACTCTCTGGCAAATTAATTAATTAATTAAATTGTGCATTTGTGTGTCTTTCTGTATCTAAAGAAATAGGATCAACTGCTGGCATGGTGTTTAAGGCAGTTGGATTTCCCTTGGCCAGTTATGGAGTTCAAGTCTCAGACCTGATGGTTTAAAAAATTGTATTGATTTAGAATCTAAAAATAAGAAATAGATGTACATTCTAAAACTGAAACATGCAATACCTAAAAAAATTTTGAGAGGTTTTTGCTATAGGGTGCATGCGCTTGCCAGAGAGACGGAAAGCGAGAAATCGCCCCCCAGGGGGATGGCCACGCTGCAATCCCTTCTCCATTCTCCTCTCGGGATCTTGGGCATGCATGCACACGTGCCTGATGTGAGTTTAAGCCACTGGGTCCAGGACTTGAACCATGGTTGACTACATGGGAGTCTAGCGACATAGCCATTACACTAACTGCTGGTCCCTGCCATACCTAAAATTAAGAGCTGGACACAGCAGAAGAGCTAATGAACTCAAAAACAGACAAATAGAAAGTTTTACTTTAATATTTTTCAAGATAATAAATTTGGTTTCTGTGATCTTCTTAAGGATTTTCTGGACTGGGTAGTTTGTGACGTATTAGTAGATGATAGAAACATGGTATTGTTACCTCAGGAACTCAGAGGAAATGCCTTACAGAGCCCTGACTGAGGCTTCCCAGAGGCACCATGAGGCTAATTTTGAAAGTGCTAGTGAAAAGGCTAGGATTGGAATTAACTGGTATAAGCGGGGTGAAAGGCCACTGCTGAGGCAGCACTGCCTGAATTGGCAAGCAAACAAAGGAGTAAGTCCCATTTTCCTTCTCAAGACTTCTGATGTCTGCCTAGTCACTCCTTTTGGCAGAATCTAACAGCCAGCAGACAAAGCCGTGCAGCATCACAAGTCAGTATAGAAATAACTTAGGGGACCAGACAGTGGCACAGCAGTTGAAAGGGTCTGCAAGGCTGACCCACTCGATGGGACGGAGGGCTTTGGATTCATGTCCAGAGAACTCTGTGAGTTTGCAGGGCACACTCATGTCTAGGCTTCAAAACTGGTTGGAGCTGGGGGTGGATTGTGGCATCAAAACCATGTTAGCAGTACTGTTTCTCTCACTCATGGAAGTAAACTTTAAAAATTTTTTAAATATTGCTTGATAACAGGCACAGGCATAAACTCTTAAGTTTTCCCCCTAATAACTAAGGAGAAATATATTCTCACTGTGTACTTGATTATAGCAAGTCTACATATCCAATGTATCTTTGCGATTTCAAATCTTACCTAAAAAACCTCACATGCAGTGGTAAGCCCTGTGCATTTGGAGCTGGATCCCACCTGGCCAGCCACAGTTCAAATCCCAGTCCCAGTAGCTTAAAAAACGTGCCAGACACTTGTGTATACATGCCCCAAATCCTGATGAGATAGAGAAAAAGAGAAAAAAACAATTATAGTGTGACCATACCCCATTAGGATGTGATTTCTCCCTCTCTCTGGTGAGCACATACTCCCTCTGACAATTAAAAAAAATTAATGGCTTTTTTTTTTTTGGCCAGAACCACCATCTTCCAGTAACTAACCAAAATGACAAACACAAAGGGAAAGTGGAGAGGCACCCGATATATGTTCTCTAGGCCTTTTAGAAAACATGGCATAGAGTGGTTCCTTTGGCAATGTATATGCAAATCTACAAGAAAGGTGATGTTGTAGACATCAAGGGGATGGGTACTGTTCAAAAAGGAATGCCCCACAAATGTTAGCATGGCAAAACTGGAAGAGTCTACAATGTTACCCAGCATGCTGTTGGCATTGTTGTAAACAAACAAGGGCAAGATTCTTGCCAAGAGAATTAATGTGCATATTGAGCATATTAAGCATTCTAAGAGCAGAGATAGCTTCCTAAACCGTGTGAAGGAAAATTATCAGAAAAAGAAGGAAGCCAAAGAGAAAGGTACCTGGGGTCAACGGAAGTGCCAGCCTGCTCCACCCAGAGAAGCACACTTTGTGAGAACCAATGGAAAGGAGCCTGAGCTTCTGAAACCTATTCTTTATGCATTCATGGCATGATGGGTGTTAAAATAAACTAATCTATGGTCTATTTTTTAAAAAGGAATGAATGAATGAAAAGGGCTTTGCTTAGTAAGAACAAGCATGTAGTTTGGTTTATTTTCACCTTGCAGGTATGATCCAAAGGAGAACAAGTGGACTCGGGTGGCTTCTATGAGTACCAGAAGACTAGGGGTGGCTGTGGCCGTGTTAGGAGGGTTCTTATATGCTGTAGGTGGCTCTGACGGGACATCACCACTTAATACAGGTTAGTCCCTCCCAAAGACAGTCCGGTTCCCAGAAGCAGCTTGTTTTGCTGAGGAGAGTGCTCCTACAAAAGGTTTTTAAGTATATAGGTTATCCTCTTACTTTCTTTGGAAACTGCTTTATTTTCTTTTCAGAGGATTGTAACTCTCAGCTCTTCCTGCAACCATAGTCTTCTACTACCTCTCCAAATATTCATCTCCCTCTGCTTTACAAGGTTCTTCAAATCTATAATGAATAAAAGAACTACTTTCTGAACGTAATTGTTTTCTCTCCCTCCACCATCACTACCTTACCTCAAAAAAAAAAAAAAAAAGAACCAGCAGATGGTATATGGCTCTGTCACTGGACTGCCATGTAGTCGACCACAGTTCAATTCCCAGACCCAGAGGCTTAAAACTCAAGCTAGCCGTGTGTGCATGAATTCCCAAAATCCTCAGAAGAGAATGGAGAAGGGACTATTGTGTGGCCATCACGCCCAACGGGTGATTTCTTGCTTTCTGTCTCTCATGCAAGTACAAGTACACACACCCTAAAGCAAAAATCTCTCTTAACACAAAAAAAGGGGGCAGGGGAGGCTAGCAGGTGGTGTGATTGAGGCGCTGGACCCTCATAGGACTGACCACAGTTTGAGTCCTGGACTTGGCAGCTTGCTTTCTCACTCTCTCTCTCCCTCACTCTCTCCCTCCCTCTTTCTCTCTCTCTCTGGTGAGTGAACATACCCTATATCAAATTTAAAATAATAATAAATAAAACTAAAAAAAATGTTAAAAAAAGAAAAAATATATACATACGTGTGTGTGTGTGTGTGTGTGTGTGTGTGTGTATGCCATAATCTAAGAATAAATAAAAGGTCAGAATTAGAAACTAGTTTGTTAGTCCTTTCCATTAAGAAATAATGATGGGGGCGGGGGGGGGGAGGACCAGCAGTTAGCATAATGGCTATGTGGCTGGGCCCCCACGGAGAGCTGGAGGAGAAGGGATTGCAGCGTGGCCATCTGGGGGGTGCTTTCTCACTTTCTGTCTGTCCGTCTGGCGCGCGCACGCGCCCTATAGCAAAAAACTCTCCAAATAAAAAAAGAAAGAATGACGGGGAGGGCTCATCCTGAGATGGATACTAAACTTGAGCTGTGAAATATTGCTTCTTTGACCAGAAATGAAGATTTTCTGCTGAAACTTCCCCCTCCAGATTCATTTCTAGTGGCCTCTATGAACTAAATGTCTAGACAGGTCCAAGTGAACAGGATCCAAACATCTGAATATGATTAGGGTCAGAATATTCTTCTATTCCCACTGAATCTGATGCACAAAGAGTGAAAACAGAATGGAAGAGAAATTGTGGATTACCTCCTTCTGCACACCTCTGAATGCTTAGATTGAACTTCAAGAATTAGGAAGAAAGGTACTTTCCATCAGATGACTAGAAATCACCACAAGGTCACAAGAAATATGGGAAATAAAGAAAATACCTCTCCTCAAAGGGAAAAGAATAACTCCTCTTCATCCTCAAACAGTACAACGAAACTCATGGAAATGTCTGATAAAGAATTTAGAATATCCATAGTGACAAAGCTAACAGAGATGGAAGAGAAGAGAGACAATGAACTGCAGAAGAGGCAGGAGAAAGGAGCTGACAAGTTCCAGGAGGTGAGGAAATTCTTGCAAGATCTAAAAGAGGAAAAACACACTATAAAAGAGAATCAAATGGACCTGTTAGAGATGAAGGCTATAATGCAGGAAGTCAAAATCTCCCTTGAAAATATTAAAAGCAGATTAGATCATACAGAAAATCAAATCTCAGATGTAGAAGATAGAATCACTGGCCTAGAGAAATCCACCATGAAGACTGAGAAAATTGCCAAAAAAAAAAAATGAGAATAATATATGAGAAGTACTAGATAGCATCAAATGTCCAAACATCCAGATAATTGGTATCCCAGAAAATGAAGAGACTCATAAGGACATTGATAATCTATTCCATGAAATCCGGCAAGAAAACGTTCCAAATCTAGAGAGGTATTCAAAGATCCAGACCCAAGAAATGCAAAGTACCCCAAATAGAATCAATACAAGATCTTTTCTAAGACTCAGCCAAATTGACCAAAACCACAAAGACAAGATACTAAGATTGGCAAGAGAAAAACATCAAGTTACCTTCAAAGGATATCCCACCAGACTAACAGCAAACCTCATCGGAAACAATATGGGCAAGGAAAGAATGAGAAAATATATTTAAAGTGTTAAGGGAAAAGCAGTCTAAACCAAGAATACTGTACCCAGCAAGATTATCCTTCATATTGAAAGAAAAGACAAGAACATTCCTCAGATACACAAAACTTGGAAGAATTTACCAACACCAGACCAGATCTCCAAAAAGTTCTCAAGGGAGTGCTACACCAGGAAAATGAAACACAAACACACAGAAATAAGAGTTTCACTAAAACATTGCTGATTTTCTTCTGGACGTTGTTTTCTACTTTTAAGGATTTTTGTCCTGTCTTGAGCTGCCCATAGGTTCATATACCTACTATTTTAACAGAATCCTAACCTGTTCCCTGGTTTTAAGTTTTAGGCAAAGTTCCATAGCATTTCTTTGATTTATTAAAGATAAGACTGCTTTTCTTGAAATTAAAAATGTATTTTAAAATACCTATTTAATGACATAGTAAGCTATATAGCATCAGCTAGGTGCTACCTTATAGTATATTCATTCTACTCAGAGTTTCACACTTGAAGTCAGACATGTATTCACAGATACATACATACCAGCTGAACTTGCTATTGAAAATAGTTAAATTATTTAATAAATTCTGTGAATCAATAAAATGGGGGGGGGGGCAAGGAATGGAAAACCACTGTAGACACCTGAGATAGTGTGGGAGGAGAGTGGGAAATGGCAGAGGGTGAGAAATAGAGGTTAAATATATAAGTGAATGAATGTAAATTAATTTCTTTAAATGTTTCAGAAGAAACTTACAATGCACTTGTAACTAGATTCCAGCTTTGTCTATATTTTTAGTTTAAGGTATTTTGTGAATCAATAAGATGTGGAAGAAAGTTTAACATGGAAGGGAGAGAGGAGAAAGGAGAAGAAAACAAGTAAAAGTATACTTAGTTGACAAAAAAAAAAAAGAGAAGCTTTTTGCTGATAAGTTATAGAGTAATATCTTTGGCTTGATGACATGCATAGTAATTGTGCTGGAAAAACAATGGGACCAGCAGTTGGCGTAATGGCTATGTCGCTGGACTCCCATGTTTCAAGTCCCAGACCTGGTGACTTAAACTCAGCCAGGCACGTGTGGGTGCGTGCCCAAGATCCTGAGAGGAGAATGGAGGAGAAGGGACTGTGGCGTGGCCATCCCCCCTGGGGGGTGATTTCTCGCTTTCTGTCTCTGTCTGTCTCTGTCTTCCTGGCAAGCACATTCGTTCTATAGCAAAAAACTCTCCAAAAAAAGAAAGAAAGAAATGCTGTACACTGTAAAGATGTGATTAATGGGGGACCAGCAGGTGGGGTAATGGTTACATTGCTAGCCTTCCACATAGTTGACCACAGTTTGAGTCCCAGACCCAGTGGGTTAACACGTTCGGTGTGCGTGCATGTGTGCCCAAAATCCTGGAGGAGAATGAAGGAGAACAGACTGTAGTGTGCCCATCCCTCCTAGGGGGTGATTTCTCATTTTCTGTCCATCTGTCTTTCTCTGTCTCTCCGGCAAGTACGTGCACCCTATAATGAATAATCTCTCTCTCAAAAAAAATAAATAAATAAAACGGGACCAGCAATTAGTGTAATGGCTATGTCACTAAACTCCCATGTAGTCAACCTGGTTCGAGTCCCGGACCCAGTGGCTTAAACTCACGCTGGCACATGTGCTTGCATGCCCAAGATCCCGAGAGGAGAACGGAGGAGAAGGGATTGTGGCATGGCCACCCCCCCAGGGAGTGATTTCTATCTCTCTGTCTCTCTCTGTCTTTCTGGCAAGCACACGCACCCTATAGCAAAAACCTCTCAAAAAAAAAAAAAAAAAAAAAAAAGAAAGAATGATGGCCTAATCAGATGGCATGGTGGTTGAAGCAGCTGGATCCCACATCACCAAGAGCACAATTTGAGTCCTAGGCCTGGTGACTTGGAAAATACACTGGGTATGTGTGCATGTGTGCCAAAAATCTCAAGAGGAGAATGGAGAAGAGAGGGTTGTGGTGTGATCATCCCTCTTGAGGGATGATTTCTCACTTTCCCACTTTGTCTTTCTCTGTCTCTTGCTGGCGGGGGCGGGGGGGCACACATGTCCTATAGCCTAAATAAATAAATAAATAAAGGGGGTCCAGTTGGTGGCATGGTAGTTAAGGTGGCTAGATCCCATATGGCCAACTGGATGGTTGAGAAACCAGCTATTTGAGAAACACTCTAGGTAACTTTGCATGCATGCCCAAAATCCCAAAAGGAAAGAAAAAATGGAGACGGGATTGCAGTATGACTGTCCGCCGTGGAGGAATGCATTCTCACTTTCTCTCTCTATTACAGCACACATGCCCTCTGGCAAAATTTTAAAAAGAAAAAGAAATAATGCATACTTTCGCTTTAAGAATGTTGTCATTGTGGCGCTCGTGTCAGATTGTCACCTATCTTGTCCTTTTTTTTGGAATTTATTATTTTTTTATACATATTCAATCACTATACATCATTTGGCTTGTAAAGAAAATTTCCCCAACATGAAATACATCTCAGACCAACACATTATCATCAACAGGTAATAAACCATTTCTGTGTTCCACTAATGTCTTGCCTCTCTATTTTCACATATCTTGTCTTCTCTTCAGTGGCTTAAAATGCACTAGGTTATAGGCAAGGGCGTACAAGAACACAGAACTTGTCCAATTATAATAATAAATTATTGGTACTAAATGGTGTTTATACATCATGTAATTCAATCCACTCATTGAAAGATAAGGATAGTGATGCTGAAGGTCATATAGCTAATTAGCCATGTGGCCAAAACTAGAATTCAGGTACCTTGACTCCAACACATGCCCTTTCCACTGTGACATACTTAGAAGAAACCAGTCCCTGGTAAGAGATAGGGAGTATTGTCCCAAAGTATGCAAGTCCTTCTTAAAAGCAAAAATCAGATTGCTTAATGGAAAGATGTGTTGGCCCAGCCATGATCATGCAGCATACTGATCTCAGTGCTGCAAGCCACATAGCCCACTGCAGATTTGGACCCCCAGGTGACCTGAAATGCTAGGCATACATGCTCAAGATCCTAACTAGCTGGAGGGCTAGGAGAAGGAGGTTGCAGTGTAAGGACTCCATTGAGGTACCTGTTGCTCTCTCTCATGAAAAAAAATTTTAAAAAGATAACTTTTAAAAAGAAGAAAATGTGGGTTATCACAGGGTTTTGATGGCTATGAAGAAAACTAGAGGTAAGAGAAAATAGTTAAATAATGACTTACTGGTTGTTCTTTTCTCTACAGTGGAACGCTACAATCCTCAGGAAAACAGATGGCATACCATAGCCCCCATGGGAACCCGGAGGAAACACCTGGGCTGTGCAGTGTATCAGGACATGATCTATGCCGTAGGAGGTAGAGATGACACTACAGAGCTTAGCAGTGCTGAGAGATACAACCCTAGAACTAACCAGTGGTCTCCAGTGGTGGCCATGACATCTCGCCGTAGTGGAGTAAGTGCCATCTGAAAGCTCTGAGCTTTGGAAAACAAGAACCAAGAGAGGGCTGAGCAGAAGTGGGGCTCTAATCTGTCAAATACAGTGGTTTACGTGGGCAAAATCACCTGTGCTAATGATTGCTTTTATCTCAAGTAGTTAAATATCTTCAGTGCAGTCATATCTTTCGTTAGAGATTGATTTGTGTGTGTGTGTGTGTGTGAGAGAGAGAGAGAAAGGTTTTTGCTATAGGGCACGTGCACTTGCCAGAAGGACAGAGACAGAAAGCGAGAAATCACCCTCCGGGAGGATGGCCACACTGCAATCCCTTCTTCTCCATTCTCCTCTTGGGATCTTGGGCATGCACGCACACGCGCTTGGTGTGGGTTTAAGCCACTGGGTCTGGGACTTGAACTGCAGTTGACTACATGGGAGTTCAGCAACATAGCCATTACGCCAACTGCTGGTCCTTAGAGATTGATTTTTATGGTTAACGTATCGATTGCTTCTCTAGAAAGTAGAAAACATCTTGTATTATCTACTGCTGTATCTAACTTCGTATCTAGTAGAACTACATATTCCTACCTCCTGTTTCCAGCTAATATTCCAAGTAGTTGACTTAGTAATACTAATAATGCAAGTGTTTGGGGGCAAACACATCTGGCCCCACCACCAATTTCTCAAGATGGTTTGAATCTATCCCATCCATGTAGTATGCACCAGGTCAGGCTCCCCTGTGTTATGTTTAGACTTTGTATGGCCAGTGATTCCAGGAGACTTCCAGGACGGAGTATAGAATTTATCCATGTTAGGAAGTCTGGCTGAGAGTGAAATGTAACCTATTAACTACTGATCATACATCAAGAGTCCATCAATGTAGGATACATCCACAACAGGAAGGAGAAAGCAGCAGTAGCTAAAGACTTCTTAAGTTGAGCATAAAAGGGGGTGAATTCTGGTTTGCATAAATCAACGAACACCACTGGAAGGTGTCAGCAACCCAAGCATTCACATATCCATGGCTTTTTATTACTGGTAACTAACACCTTAGTCACATTCCTGTTATTTTCACTCCTACATTCTGTGTATTATTTTCATTCATTTAGCAAGTAGTAAGTGCTCACTATGTGCTGAAAAGGAAAAATGAATGTGACATGGTTCCTCTCTTCAGAGCTCCCAATTTAGTGAAGGAATGGAAAATTTATAACTAACTATAATAAATGGATCCTACACTGGCACATGTGTGACAGGAAAATATGGGAGAATGTGCAGAATGCTTTGGGAAAGTGAGAATGTGGAGACAGGGACAGCCACGTGCAAGTTAAGTCATGAAGGAAGAACAAGGTTTTCTAGAAGAGGGACAGACACTACCAAGAAACAACACATGCAAAAGTATGGAGATGTTAAAAATGTATTTTCATGAACTAGCAGTTACTGCAGTATAAGGTGTATTAGTAAGAGGAAGGCACCAATAGGAAAGGCCAAAACAGCGGGCTAAGGTGGATTTCTGGAGGGCTTCAGTAGCCTAATAAGGACTTTAAACTTACTATATTATAGAGGGCTTAGAAAGTTTTTAAAGCAGAAAGTGACAATGCAGTTCAGTTTTATTTATTTATTGATTGATTGATTGTGGTTTTTGCCATAGGGTGCATGAACTCACCAGAGAAAGAAAAAGAGAGGGAAAGTAAGAAATCACTCCTTAGGGGGATGGCCACATGACAGTCCCTTCTCCTTCAGTCCCCTCTGGGCATTTTTGGCATGTACGCACACATGCCTAGCATGATTTTCAAGTTCCCAGTTCAAGACTTGCACTATAGTTGGCCATGTAAGTCCAGCACCTTAACCATCACGCCCCCTGCTGGTCCCTATATTTATATTTTTAAAAGAGAATTTTAGTAGCTTTTGAGAAAGTAGACTCAGAGCATGCAAATACCAGAGGAAGTGAGAGCAGTTGAAAAGTTCTTGTTCATTCCTAGTGAATGCTTTTTCTTTTTTATTATTATTTAATTATATGTATCTATTTTATTTTTTAAAGTATTATTTTACTTTATTTATTGTTATTAGTTTCCAGTTTGATCAACCAGAGAGAGAGAGACAAAGTGAGAAAGCAAGCCACCAGGTCTGGGACTTGAACTATGGTCGGCCATGTGGGAGTGTCCAGCACCTTAACCACCACACCACCTGCTGATCCTATGACTGCTTTTTCTAAAATTTAGGAAATAGAATGTTTTGCAGACTCTGTGTAATGAGATATTCCAATTGAATGTATAATTTTATAGTCCTCATCATTTATTTTTGTTACTTTTTTCCCTTTGTGTTCAGGTGAGCCAGAAAGTTTAAGTAAGGCCATAAAGAATATCTTGTATACGGGACCAGCAGTTGGTGTAATGGCTATGTCGCTGGACTCCCATGTAGTCAACTGTGGATCGAGTCCCAGACCCAGTGGCCTAAACTCACACCAGGTGCATGTGTGTGCATGCCCACAGTCCCAAGAGGAGAAGGGATTGCACACCCATGGCCACACCCCCTAGGGGTGATTTTCCGCTTTCTGTCTTTCTGTCCCTCTCTGTCTTTCTGATGAGCGCATGTGTCCTATAGCAAAAATGCCTTAAAAATAAAAAGAATATTTTGTATTAAAGGGATTTATCTAGAAATTGGTCTACATTTTCCCAATAATTGCCCAATTGTTTGGTCCCATAGGTTGGTTTGGCAGTGGTCAATGGACAGCTCATGGCAGTAGGAGGTTTTGATGGCACTACATACTTGAAGACCATTGAAGTTTTTGATCCTGATGCCAATACATGGAGGTAACCTTTAATTGTGTTGCTGATCCCCTCACTACTGACTTGAAAATTATGGGCTTGCAGTAGGCATGACCATCAAAATTAGGATGGTCAGTACACTGAAGTATTTCTTGGTAATACTTTGAAGAGAGCCTAACTCTATTTAATGCCTCAATTTCACTTGATTACTTAGAAAACTTTCCTTTTGGGTAACTGTCCAACTGAACCCTTACATTTAGAGACAGGGGAAAGAAAGTCTACTTTCTAGCTCCATCATGTTTAACCAAGGAAACTAAGTCATCAAGAAATAAAATATCTTGCCTCAGTGAGTTAGTGACAGAGTTAAAGTTAGAACCTTGATCCTTGGCTTCCCGTCTGTCAGTGCAGTTTTTGGTGTTTTTATGGGAAGCTTTATGCTTAGGAGAAATAAATTGCAGTTTGTTTTTATTTGTTTATTTTATATTTTTTGCCATAGGGCACATGCGCTTGTTGGAGAAAGACAAAGACAGAGAGGGATAGTGAGAAAACACCACCCAGTGGGAATGGTCATGCTGCAATCCCTTCTCTTACACTCTTCTCTCGGGATTTTGGGCATGTATGCACATGTACCCAACAGCTGGGTCCAGGACTCAAACCAATGAGTCAGCCATGTGGGATCCAATAATTTAACCACCACATCACCTGCTGGCCCCTGCAGATTGTTTTTTTAAAGTAACATTTTATTGCAGTCTTACTTTTTTTTCTTTTTTTTGAGAGGTTTTTGCTATAGGGCGCGTGTGTGCTCCAGAAAGAGAGAGACAAAGAGAAAGAAAGTGGGAAATCACTCCCCTTGAGGGGATGGCCACGCTGCAATCCCTTCTCCTCCCTTCTCCTCTCAGGATCTTGGGCATGCACACACATGCCCGGAGTGAGTTTAAGCCACCAGGTTCGGGACTCGAACCGCAGTCAATTACATGGGAGCCCAGCAACATAGCCATTACACCAACGGCTGGGCCCTCTTTCAGTCTTACTTTAAAACCTACTTTTTCCTTGAACTCTTGCAATATTCCTATTTTCAAATCTAGTAAATATTAGTCACTTTTAGAAAAGAGATTATATCTTACTTAAGAGAGTTTATAACTATTTTAAACACCATTAATAGGATTATTTTTATTTTAAATCTTTGTCTAATAAATCCTTCCTGTGCACATAGTCATAAATTCACATAAATTAGATGACTCATGCATTCATTTTAAATATTCAAAAATGTTTACAAACTTAGGAAAATTCTCTTAATTTTTAAAAGTTCATTTTATTTATTTATTTATTTTGTTGTTGTTGTTGTTATAGAGCATGTACACTCACCAGAGACACAGACAGAAAGGGAGACTCACCCCCTGGGGGGATGGCCATGCCACAATCCCTTCTCCATTCTCCTCTTAGGACTTTGGGCATGTACGCCCACACGCCCAGCATGTGTTTAAGCTGGGTCCAGGACTCCAACCATGGTCACCTTCATGGGAGTCCAGCAACATAACCATTATGCTGTCTGCTGGTCCTTTATTTATTTATTAAGAGAGAGATCCTTTAACATAGGGTCTCTCACCATGCCATGATCCCCACCCACTCAAACAGCCTTCTAACCAGTCAGGATCATGGGCATGTCCGAGGGTGCCTGGTATATTTAGGTCAACCAAGGATCTGAACCCAGGGCCATCAGATAGTTTCAATTTCACACAGTGGTACCCTACTGCCTGTGCCATTCTCTTTCATGTTTAAGCTAAAAATCATTAAGTCTTGGGACTAGTAGATGGCATCATTACATTGCTAGACTATCACATAGCTGACTGTGATTCAAGTCTTGGACTCGGCAGCTTACACTCACGCTGGGTGTGTGTACTTGCATGCCTAAAATCCCTAGAGAAGGGAGTGCGGTGTGGCTATCCTCCCTGGGGTTGATTTCTTGCTTTCTCTCTCTCCGCCTCTCTCTGTCTCTCCAGCAAGCATACGCACCCTATAGCAAAAATCTCTCTCTAAAAAATATAAATAAATAAAATAAAAATCATTAAGTCTTGGGGCCAGAAGGTGGTGTGGTGGTTAAGGGCTCTGGACTCCCACATGGACAACTGAGGTTCAAGTCCCAGACCTGGTGGCTTGTTTTCTCACTTTCCGTCTCTCTTTCACTCTACTCTGTCCCTCTCTGGTAAAATTTAAATAAGTAAATAAAGGTAAATAAAATAATTCTTTATAAAAAATAATTCAGTCTTGGGACCAGCAGTTGGCGTAATAGCTATGTCGCTGGACTTCCATGTAGTCGACTGCGGTTCGAGTCCCGGACCTGGTGGCTTAAAAACTCACACCGGGCACTTGCGTGCCCAAGATCCTGAGAGGAAAAAGGAGGAGAAGGGATTGTGGCGTGGCCATCTCCCCTTGGGGGTGATTTCTCACTTTCTGTCTCTCTGTCTCTCTGTCTTTCTGGCGAGCGTACATACCCTATAGCAAAAACCTCCCCCCCCAAAAAAGCATTCAGTCTAAATCTTTACTTAATCACACATTTTTTATTGAACATATTATAAGACTAATTTGGTAAGATACTATAAAATGCTAGATCCTCTGAAACATTACAAGAACTTAAAATGCCAAATATGGAGCTAAGTCTCAAAGGTTATTACTTAATTAATTAAGTACTAGTCTTATAAGAAAATAGTACTGCCTTCCAAGCAATTTGAGGTTTCCTTTCCAATAAATTGGACTTACTTGGCCAAGCAGATTTAGAGTTACCATTGCAGTAGCTGTGATTGCACAACAACCAGATATCAGTCTGGGTGTGAGATCTCAGGAGGCAGACATTCTGGGAGATTTTTCTCATGACTGTGAAGGGTAAACTAAGCTCTGTTTTATAGTTACTGTTGTTTTTAATTTTGCTAAGGGCACATGCACTCACCAAAGAGAGAGAAAGTAAGTGAGAAAGCATCCCTGTGGGAGATAGTCACACTGCAGTCCCCTCTCCTCCATTTGTTCTTTTTGAGACTTTAGGAATACACAAGTGCCTGGCATGTTTTTTCAGGCCACTGGGTCTGGGATGTGAACCACGCACTTCGCCATGTGGGATTCAGCCACCTCAACCACCACACCACTGACTGGCCCTATAATTATTTTTTACTTTTTTGAGAAATTTTTTGTTATAGTATGTGTGCACTCACCAGAAATCTAGAAATTACCCCTCAGGAGGGATGGCCATGCTGCAGTCCCCTCTCTTCCACTCTCCTCTGAGCACCTTCGGCACACACGCACATGCACCTAGCATGACTTTCAAGCCCCAGGTCTAGAACTCAAACTTCAGTTGGCCACATGAGAATCCAGTGTCTCAACCACCACACCACCCACTGGCCCCTGTAGTTACTATTCTTGAAGAGGCAGTCTCATGGTCTAGTTCCACTGTGTTCTAATGAAACATTTCTTAATTTTTAGCCTGAAAATACCCACCTAGGTTTTTTTCATCACCGTTAGATTCAGCTAATGAATTTACTGAGTTCTTTTTATAATCTTTATTTTTGGGAAAGCAATAACTCTTACACTTATATGACATGCATTAGGTCTACATTTGTCTCATGGCGCTGTGTAGCTTGGTGGTCACAATACTGATGTCCAGCTAATGACAGCCTAGTGCTTTTGCCCCTATACCACATTTTGACCACCCTGTGCATTAAGTAAAGATTTACTGGTTTTAGGCCCTGGGAATGTAAATGTGAACCAAACAAAATTCCCTGTCTTCCTGGAGCTGTCATTATAGTGAGAGAGACAAACACCATCCCAGGAATGGAAGTGCTATGGTGAAGGGCAAACTAGGAGAGGGGATTTAGGAGTATAGGGGGGAGATTCTGTTTTAAAAGGTGGTCAGAGTAGATCTCACTGAAAGGATAACACTTTAGCAACACCTAATAAAGATAAAGGATAAAATGGCAGGTTTTCATGAATAAGAGACTCCTTCTCATGAAATACTTTTTCCTATATATACAGTGGGTTGTCAGAAAAATCATGTGTATTTTGTCTATGTTTCTGTGCAAATGACTTTTCCAATAACCCCATAGTGTTCTACTTTTAGTGGAAATTTTGAGTAAGCATAATTTGGGAAGACACCAGATTTACTTCTGCCACCTAAACACTGTAATCTTAAATAAGGACTTCTTTCTCAGTAACTGTCACTAGATAGAATCAGTAATATAGACCAAGTAACCTTCACGAAAATCTTGAGGGTTCTCTGTTGAGAGATTAATACCTAGATTGTTGCAGTCACCCATAACATAAACCCACTTTAATAATTAATACCTAGATTGTTGCAGTCACCCATAACATAAACCCACTTTCACCTCACAGCTGATTGAGGATCTTCTCTTTTCCATGGAAGTTCTTAATTTTGAAGGTGGTCTTGTACACATGTTGCAAACTAGATGCTGACTTTATTTGTTCATATCCAGCTTTGTTCCATAAGAAATTTGAAGAGTCTCACAAGACTACATGCAAGGGACCAGCAGGTGGCGTGATGGTTAAGGTGCTAGACACTTCCACATGGCTAACCATGGTTCAAGTTTCGGACCTGGTGGCTTGCTTTCTCACTTTCCTCTCTCTCTCTGGTCAAATTAAAATAAATGGATGAATTAATAAAATTAAATAAAAAATAATTCATTAAAAAGTATACATGCAAGACAAAGAATAAAAATAAATAATTGAGGAAGTTTAGGCAAAAGAAGAATATGGATGGGAAAATAATATAACCAGGGGCAAAATTAGACACAAAAATACAGAACATATGATAATGTGTAATTGTTAGAAGCCATGCTAGGTGTAAAGTTCTGATGCAAAAAGTTAATGTTAAACTCTCTTGTTCAGTCTCTGACAAGTGGAAACACTTCTGTCCGTGTCTAAAACAAGTCTACTAGACCATACTCAATTCCAGCTTTGGAAGAAATCTATGAAGTTGAAAATATTAGTTGTGGGGCCGGCAGGTGGTGTGGAGGTTGAGGTCACTGGACTCCCACATGGCCGACCACGATTTGAGTCCTGGATATGGCGGCTTGCTTTCTCTCTCTCCATCTCTCTCTCTCTCTCTCTCTCTCTGTCCCTCTCTAGTCAAATTAAAAATAAAGTTAAATAATTTTTTTAAAAATATTAGTCATAAAAAAATATTAGTCATGATATCAAACATAAAAATGTTAGAGTAACATCTTAGTCGTAGAAGAAATAGTACTTTTTCCACTTAGAAAATCTGATTGTGTTTCTTTCTTTGCAGGTTATATGGCGGGATGAATTATCGTCGACTAGGGGGTGGTGTAGGAGTTATTAAAATGACACATTGTGAATCCCACATATGGTGAACATGTAGAAGATAGTCTTGTATATTCTGCTCTGTATTCTGGAGAGCTTTGACTTTGAAGCTTTGTACAACTTGAGAAAACATTAGAACAAAGTTTATTCATTGCTGGTGCCTCAACATATGGAAATGCAAATCCAGTGAAAGTACTTCACCTGCAAGATGCCACCTTTGCACGATAATTTTCAGCTCTCTGCAGGAGAATATTTATTTTTGATTTTAACTTATTGTTTGGGGTTTTTTTTTGTGTGTGTGTTTTTTAACTTCCTCCCATGAGAAAAATAAAAAAAATCTAAGCAGCAAAACTTACTTATAATGATAAGGGCAGAAGGGCTGTATATGATCTGGTTGTTATTTCTAGACACTCCATCCACCTGATTTCACTACTTTCAAGCATTACCAACAAAATAGATATGGGAAATGTATTAGCTAACCACCATTCTTGCACTAAATACAAGAAAACTTGAAAATCTAGAAAAACAAACAAAAAGATGCCATCTCAGTTTAAGTAGTAGTACAATTCAGAAGAAATAATTCAATCATTAAAAACCAGGACTCAGATACTATAATTTTTATGAATAGAGTTCATGTCATTTCTTTCTATGTGAACTTGTTTTCCACTATAAAGTTTTTTTTTTTTCATAATATAGAGTTTCTGCTAGATCTAGAGCTCTGCTGAGTGCCTCTTATAAAAAACAGTATCAGTCTCATGGTATCTTAAGAATCCCCAAGAGAATCATGTGCAACTCTGAGTTTTTGCTCAAAAATGTTACTAACTGAAGCAAATTTCCTTCCTCTTTCCTAATTGCTACCAATAACCAGCAGGGAGAAATGTTCTCTCCCCAGCAGGGTATTCTGTTATGCAGTTTACACTTGATGCTCAGGCATGGTGAAGCTGAGGCTTACCTTTAATAACAGCCCCCAAGGGAATGAACTCTTCAGTTAATGTAATAGTACATGTTAATGAGTGTAAAACCAACTGAGGCATTTTATTAATATCTTGATTCTTTTATATATAAACTATCATTTCATCCACTGTTACTACTTCTCTCAAATGACACTTTCTGGTGAAAAGTTTAAATTTTTAAAGAAACAATTATAATAGTTTCAGTGGTTACAGTTTTTTTGTTCTCACTGCATTCATAGACCAATTTTTTTCAAGATATTTTACAGGAAAATCTTTGAATATGACCTTAACCTCCTTCTCCATCACTCCTATTACAAAAATGTTTGGCAGCTTTTGTGTTTACATTTAAAAATCATTTGCACCTTTTTCAAGGAAAAAAAGATAAGTATTTGGTAAACAATTGTTTACATGTATCATTTATGCTTTTTTCTAGCATGTATAACTTTTTTAAATAAAGGTAGTATTTACCATAAACATTTTTTGGTTAATGCTTTTTAATGTTTGTACCTTTGCTATCTAACTTGGATTTTCTGTTTCTATTATCATTTATATTACCTCTCTGTAAACTTGTAAGTGCTTTCAATCTGAGGAATAAAAGGATTGCCAGCCAGAATTAGGAACTTTTAGTATATATTTTATAACCTAACATATAAACTTACTTTCTGTTGTAGAATTTAGAATCATTCAATTTTGAGCTGAAAGTACTCAATAGTTATCAAATCCAAACCAATTCATTACACAGATCCAAGGAAGTCTGCCTAAGATTAGTCAATTAATGATAGACCAATAGTAAAAATCTTTTTTTAGTTGTATTCATTTCTTCAGTGAGTGAAGGACAGCACCCTCAGGATCTTGACACTGGAATCCAGCCCATCTCAGTCAGCACTGATGATGAGCATGCATGTACCTGTGTATGGGGAGGTTTTTGCATGTGAACCCAGAATCTCCCCATGTGGGTCAGCCTCACAGAGCATTGTTTTACTGATATGCCACTATATAACCCTCCATCTCTTTTTCTGTGCCACACTGCCACTGCAGGCTTACCTGAAATATGGCCCCTAGAGATCTCTGGCTTTTTAGAATTCACACCTTGTGTAAGCCCCACCCACACTGAACAGGGTTGATCTGGTCAATGAGCCTAGGGGTAGGCTGCAAAAGTAATGGTGCACCCTGGTGGAAGATGTTGATTATGGCAGAGGCTATGCATGTGCGCAGGCAGGGGTATATGGGAAATCTCTGTCTCCCACTACATTTTGCTGTAAACCTTAAAACCAAAAAAAAAAATTGGGGCCAGCAGATGGCATAATGGCTACGTCACTGGACTCCCATGTAGTCAACTGTGGTTCGAGTCGCAGACCCAGTGACTTAAACTCACACCAGGCGTGTGTGCATGCGTGTCCAAGATCCTGAGAGGAGAATGGAGGAGAAGAGATTATGGTGTGGCCATCTCCCCTGTGGGGTGATTTCTCGCTTTCTGTCTCTATCTGGCAAGAGCATGCGTCCAATAGCAACAACCTCTCAAAAAAAAAAAAAAAAAAAAAAAATCAAAGTCTGGACCAGTCTTGCTGGCACAGCAGTAACACAACACCCAGTGATGCTAGGACCACATAGGAATATCCCAGGTTCATATCCTCTGCAGGCCAGGCATGTATGTGCCCAGCATGTGACTTGAAACTCAGGCCGGGCATGTATATGTGCATGCCCAAAATCCCAGGAGGAGAATGGAAGAGAAGGGATTGAGGTGTGGCCATCTCCCCAGGAGGTGATTGCTCGCTTTCTATTTCTAGTGAACGCACATGTCCTATAGCAAAAATCTCTAAATAATAAATATATAGTTTGTACCATTGTAAAGTCAGAAAGCTCCTAAGTCAAAACCTTCTGCATTACAAAAAATAAATTTCATTCTGATATGTACTGTTAAAATGTAGTATTAGTGTTTCTGGAGTTTCTACTTACTTGGTTATATAATTATGTATCTTTTACACTGAAAACCTCAGATCCTAACAAATCAACATAAAGATATATATAGATTTTATTATAAATACTGGCAAAATAACAATACCAATATTGCCACTGAATGTAATTTAAGATATCTTTGATATTCTTCCTTAGAGCCACTATAATATGCAACCAAAACAGCATGACTTGAAGATGTTAAAAATCCTTATGTGATTGTAACATTAACTTAATAGAAGACCAATTTGTTTCTAATGTTTAAGGGTTGCTTATTTTCTTTTTTGATGTAATTTTGTTTTATAATTATATAAAACACATGATTCCAAACTGTAAATGAGGAACATTAAGGTAAGGGTTAATTTTTTTTCCAGAGATTTTTTTGTTACAGGGTACGCACGCTATCTGGAGAGACAGAAAGTGAGAAATCATCCTCCCCCCAGGGGGTAGCCACACCACAATCCCTTCTCCATTCCCCTTTCGGGATCTTGGGCATGCACACGCACACAGCGTGTTTTAAGTCACCAGGTCCAGGACCCAAACTGTGGTCAACTACATGGGAGTCCAGTGACATGCTTGATTTTGTATCTTTAACCAGTGAATTTTTGGGACAGAATCCTAGTAGAATTATTCATCAAAGGTAAAGGTAGGGCCACAGCTGTAGCACAGCAATTAGGTGCTGTGCAGAGGATGTTAATATGTGAACATTTCTCCCCAGTCCCGTTGATCAAAATATCTTCAACCAATTAAGCCACTGGGTCCAGGACTCGAACCACAGTTAACTACGTAGGAGTCCAGCAACGTATCCATTACACCATCTGCTGGTCCCTGCAATAACTTTTTAACTGTTTCCCTTCTTCCATTCTTGTCCACCTACAATTCATTTCCCCCCTTACAAAATCTTATAAGACACAAATCAAGTTGTATCAATTTCCTGCTTAGAGTCCATCTGTGGCTTTTCATTGCATTGAGAATAAAATTCAATTTCTTCACAGTACCTATAAAAATATGAATCATGTGAATACTGCCTCTCTAGTTAGGATTAGATTTGGCTATAAGCAACAGAGACCTACAATTATGATACTTTAAGACAGCTTATCTTTTTTTAATTTTATTATTTGGAAGTTTATCTTTCTGACAAATTATAGAGGAAAAATGCCTGAGACTGGCACTGGGATTCAGTTTCAAGAAGTCCTCAGGACTGAGAACTAGTGAATTCAGGAGACTAGGAGAAATGAAGATTTTCCATTGATAATTCAGCTTCCAGCCCTCAAACTCACGTGGAAAGGCAAGGGCACAGGCCACAGAAGACCCCTTTGTGGCGACTGAGAACTAGTGTTTTCAG